TGCATAAAATGTCTAGGTATACTCTTATCCTGAAGAGATGGGGAAACTGTTGCTGAAAAGAGTTCTGTGACTTGTCCAAGGCTCCCCAGCCAATAATGGCTGCCTGAGTGCATAGCTCATTTGCTTTGGAATACAGCCTACTTCCTCCAGGACTTGGGCTTCCATGTTGCTCAGGTCTTGGTTTAGATCCCAGATGTGTGACTTTGGGTAAGTTACTTGACCTCTCTCAGCCTCCTATATTGACCTCCTGTAACCTATACAAGATAGTGTATGTATTAAGTACATAGCACGATTCTTGGTTTATAGTAAAGGATTCATAAATGTTTGTGGGATGAATTCATGAATGAAATGAACATAGAGAAAGGTGTCTTAAAATGTGAGTGGACTTAGAATTATGATGTATAGGGGATGGTAGGAGTATTGAGGGCAATTTTATCCCTTCTCACTTTCTCTATGATTCACGAGAGATTTTGCACTGGCCTCACCCATACTGGGCTATTATTTATTGTTTGCAAACCAACAAAAGTGAACCAATCCTAGTTTGGGAAGCTTTCTTTCTAATATATGTCTTTACTGCCTTTTCTGATAACAGAGTAATATGTGCTCCTTGTAAAAAATACAAATTGCAGAAAGATATGAGTGGAAAACGAAAGTGCAAGTTTAGGCACTGTAGACACAAGAGGCTGACATAGTGTTACTCTTTGGAAAGTGCAGAGGGGCATAAACGGTGTGATGGTTAATTTTATGCATCAATCCAGTTGGCTTAAAGGATGCTCAGATAGTTATTTCTGGGTATGTCTGAGGATGTTTCCAGAGGAGATTAATATTTGAGGGAGGTGCCTATGGCTCAGTGAGTAGGGCACCAGCCCCATATTCTGAGGGTGGCGGGTTCAAACCCAGCCCCAGCCAAACTGCAACAAAAAATAGTTGGGCATTGTGGTGGGTGCCTGTAGTCCCAACTACTTGGGAGGCTGAGGCAGAAGAATCGCCTAAGCCCAAGAGTTGGAGGTTGCTGTGAGCTGTGACTCCACTGCACTCTACTGAGGGCGAAAAAGTGAGACTCTGTCTCTACAAAAAAAAAAGAGATTAATATTTGAGTTGGTAGGCTCAGCGCCTGTAGCTCAGTGGTTAGGGCACCGGCCACATACACTGTGGCTGGCAGGTTCGAACCTGGCCTGGGCCTGCTAAACAACAATGACAACAACAACAACAAAAATAGCTGGGCATTGTGGCAGGTGCTTGTAGTCCTAGCTACTTGGGAGGCTGAGGTAAGAGAATTGCTTAAGCCCAAAAGTTTGTGGTTGCTGTGAGCTGTGACACCACAGCACTCCACTGAGGGCAACATAGTAAGACTGTGTCTCAAAAAAAAAAATTTGAGTTGGCAGATTGGGTAGAGATTACCTTCCACCAAGGTGGGTGGACACAGTCTGATTCATTGAGGACCTGATAGAACAACAACAAAAAAAATGGAGGCGGGACAAATTTGTTCTCTTTTCTTGAACTGGGACATCCATCTTCTCCTACTCTTGGACAATGGAGCTCCTGGTTCCCCGGCCTTTGGACTCTAGGACTATACCAGCACCCTTTTGGCCTCAGCCTCCAACCCCTAATTCTACTGGCTTTTCAGCTTGCAGAAGGCAGATCGTGGGACTTCTTTGCTTCCATAATCATGTGAGCCAATTCCCATAATAAAGAAATTTAAAATATATACATCACACATATACACACTTCTATTTGTACAGTTTTTCTGTACAGAATGCTGACTCTGGAGAACAAGGAGTCCTCCCATTCTTCCTGCTTAAAACTCGTTTGTACCAGCCTTGTAATGGTTCATGGGGTGGGGGAGAATGTGAGAATTAATTAGGCAGGGGCTTTCCCTCGAACCCCATGGGATCTGTAGAATTTTCCACGTCAATATACACAGTTTGCTCGGATGCCCACTGCTGATATGCCTTGTAGCTGTGTTTTTAATCCTCTCTCCTCCCCATTAACATTTAGTAAAGTCTTTTTTAAAAGTTCTTACTATACACACACAGAAAAGCAAAGCAAAGAGAAAAAAGGTGAAAGCCCTCTATTTAGTGCTTTACAGACTCCATATTTTTCTACGTATATACCAAGCATATATTATGAATTATAACCATGAGACCCTTGTACACCTGTAATTTTGCAACTTGCCCTTTTCACTTAACAATACCCGGTAGATGCTTTTTCTTGCCTGTTCATGCAAATTTATCCCTTGCTTTTTACTAATGGATTCTCTTGAGGGAAGAGCTATTATTTAGCCCTACTTCCAGTCCAGAGGCCAGCACATGGGAGGCTTTACTGGGAGGGCATGTTCAGATAGTAATGGCAACCACGAACTGTGAGCCAGACTCTGAACTAAGCTATTTCGTGTTATTTCATTTGATTCTCTCAGTCATTCTGTGAGATAGGTACTATTATTATTAAATGTTTCCATTTTTCAGATGAGAAACTGAGGTGCAGAGACTTAAAAGCCCAAAGTTATCCAACTGGTAAGTGCGGAGCTGAGCTTCAATCCTGATCTGTCCTATGCCAAAGATTTTGCTATAAATGAGTAAGTGGTTAATGGAGTCATGGGTCCCAGGGAGAAAGTTGTCATCAGAACTTCCCTTTATATCCTGGGTTCCACTTTCCAAGGGTTTGTAGTGCTTGGAATCAGTGTTAGCCCTTATGAGCGACTCAGTAAAGGTCCTTCCTTTCCCTGCTGCAATCTTATAGCTATGCTTATTTTTCATGGGAAGTGATGTTTTTAAATCTTCTATTCTAAAAATAAGCTAAAATTTGTTAGGGGACTTTGAAGACTAACTCAGACAACTGAGGATAGCCATTTGCACCAGAAATTAATCAGAACCCCAAAATTCTTCTCCTTGTCCCACGGGTCAGCACTGTGGAAATGCCCAGTGCCTTGCTGCATGCAGCTCTCTTAGAGGACTGCAGTGATGCCAAGGGCGGTTTAACACAGATCCATCTCTCTGTAAGGAAGGCAAGAAGAGAAAGGCACAAAGCAGAAATGGGTCAGCTCTGCTGCAAAGAACTTGCAGAGAGAACTCACAGCTGTGTCCAACTTGGAAGGGTGCTGAGTGGGGGATATGCCCTGAGGCATCAGATGGAACTCTGTATGATCCACCTGCAGTCTGGAGACTGAAATGTTAGTTCTAGTTCCAATGGCAATATTTTGCAGGGCCACTTTCAGCAAACCTCTTCCTTTCTCAGGATGGTAAGGTACTCCATTATGTTTTTTTTTTTTTTTT